CCCCCCCCCCCCCATTTCCCTTTTAAACATAAAGGAGCAGCATCCATTGCAAGTGATTTCATCAGCACTTGGAATATTTTAATAACCTTTTAACTTTAATATCACTTTAAATCAAATCTGATGCTTTGCCCTGCATGGATAAGCGCAGCTTCCCTTTAATTCATGGGGATTAAACTATAAGACTCTTGTAAAGTTATTCGTGCCAAAAAATTAGCATTCTGAATTTTGTATTGTGGAAATGCCAGACAATTTTGTATAAGCCATAATGATCACACCATCCTCTGTACCGAGCCAAGGCCTTTGTGGAATTCATTTTAGAATTGCTGCAAGCGACAGTTCATCATTTACAGTAGACCCGTTCTATAGATATTCATAAGGAATATAGTAGATAATCATGTCTAAAGATTTCTCAGCTTGGTGAAAAAAGTTTCACTGGGAGAAAGTTAGCGGTATATTATGATTACCGAATTCTTGTGCTGTCTTGTTGCAGAAAGTCTTTGATGACCTCTGTCCAGCATATTTTCCTTCACCATAAAAGCTCGGTATTCCTTACCATCATTGTGAACACTTACCTGAGGCTGACACTGAGACATCTTTAAAGATGAGGCTTGAGTTTTTTAAAATTATATTTTATTTAAACATTGCTCAGAAGTCTCATGTCTTTCCCAGGAGTCACAGAGGCAGACATGCTATAGGATCAGAGAATATATAATATTAACAGGGAGTTGAGATGCCCCTGAGCTTTTGCGGAGTTCCCAGAGTAGAATAGCCTGGTTTGACAGCGTATTAGGAATGCACGGTAGCAGGAGACTGTTTCGGTGTTACTTATAGAACATTGCTTGTTATAGTCTCTGTACATCAAACAACTTCTACAAAGTTATATCTGATTCTGTGTTGTTCACTATTAGTGGATTATGTATTTCTATATAACAGCAGAAGTTTACTATTTACCTCCTGGTGTCTGTCTATCTTGTAGTCAAGAACTAGCTGCACTCCTTACCGGAATAGTAGTAAACCTGCAAAGCAGGTGGGTGCTTGTAGTGACCACAGACGGCCCCGTGAACAATGCAGATCTAGAAAGGATTGTCACCAGCACACCAAAAGTTTTGAAGCAAAAAGTCCTTTATTGACAAATCGCCATCCAATACAAGCGCTTTCGGGGTCTCAGCAGTACCCCTTCATCAGGCTCAGAATTTTGGTGTGCTGGTGACAATCCTTTCTAGATGTCTATTTATCTTGAACGCACTCCTTAAAGTGACATTAAACCCTCAGATTTTTTAACATAAACCAATACTGTAATGTGCGCCTTACTGTAATCCATGGTAGCTTCCCTTCTCTTTGCTGCTCTTCCTTTTAAATCCTCATGTCTTCTCATGCTTGGGGAGAACTTCCCTTTTCAGCTCAGGGCCTCTTCCTGCCTATAGGTTACAAGCCTATAGAAACTAATACACAGACACCGTATATCCATTCCTGAGACAAGGCAGTCTGCTGCAAAACAGAAGTTCTGCAGAGCATGAGAACAGATACAGATTTAAAAGGAAGAGCAGCAAAGAGAAGGGAAACAGCCATGGATTACAGTAAGGCGTACATTACACTATTGTTTTATGTTAAAAAATCTGAGGGTTTAATGTCACTTTAACGGATTTAAACTGATATTAGTTTTTTTTTTACATTTTTATACATAGGAGGCCCACACTTGTATAAAACCTCCTATTGTTCTGCTTTAAAAATGTTCAGTTCCTCGTTCTGTAGTGGGTCCCTGCATTGCTTTCCCTCCCGCCCCCTGCACTGGTGCCTCCATCAGCTATGCGGCTGCTGTAGAGGCACCCGTGCGTGCACATTCCCGGGCCGTGCCCGCAAGTAGCTGTGTGCGTCCATAGACACACACAGCCCTGTGGCAGGGCACGTTCCTCCTCTCCTCCCAAAAGATTGATTGACGTCACAAGGAGCCTATGGCTCCTCTGCCTTCAGTATCCTCCCTGGCAACCAGGAAGTTCAGTAACGGACGATTGCTTTGGGGAATTTTGCATTGATTTAATTTCCAATGAGGTCTATAGGGCCAAGCGCGTTGAAAAAACGCCCCAAAGTAGCTCAGGAACTTTTTCCAGCGACAGGCGCTTTGCAGCTTGCGACAAAACTCCTATGTGTAAACATGGGCCATTTCATTGGGAATTCATACACTGAGCGTTTTGTTGTGCGTGTTTGTGCGCTACAACGGGCCTAAGTTTAAATGGGGGCTTAAAGAGATCTAAAGCCAAACTTCTCAGAGCCGCTCAGACAGCTCAGAGCCGTGCTGCACCTGGGAAAGATCCTGAAAATATTATGGAGATCCACCCAGCTGCCTGATTGACAGCTGGTTCTGCCTCTCTAGATCCAGAGCCAGCTGTGCCCACCCCCTCCTTTGTCTGTCCCTCCAATGAGCACTGGAGGAACAGAGGGGAATCCTGGTGGGGGGCAATGACTGACAGTCCCTGCTGTCTGCAGGGAGAACACCATGAGCTGAGCGATGTTTCGTTGTATAATAATATAATAAAGTACAGAGTTATAGATTTGTCTGGGGCCTCATTTAGCTAAAACCCACTGCATAGCTGAGGGCCACAAAGAAGGGATAAAACAGCTGCAATAAGTGGTCCAGGAAAAAAAAAAAGTTGGATTGCTCTATAGTGTGCAGTTACCGGAGCTTTTTCTGAGAGCAATACAAGTGCTTCCATCCCATACTCCCTTCTGAGAATGCTAATTCCCTGGCCTTCAAGCCCATCCCCCCCAGCTTCACATCTTAGTGCGTCACCAACCATCAACAACATGAAGCCAGTGCAGTAGTAGCTCCCAAGTACATTTTTTTCCCGGTCAGTAACACAGTGAATTAAATCCTTTTATATGCATGTGTACAGTAAGTGTTCATATAACCACAACATTAAATATCAGAACACAAATGTTTTCTACTTTATATTACCAGGAGGAAGACATTTTGGACCTCTTGGAACAATGTGAAATAGATGATGAAAAGCTGTCTGGAAAATCTACTCGACACAGAGAGCCACGGGTATGTAGCAAAGAGGAATGCCCACACTTGAGGTCATGACATGTTAAGTCATGACGTGTTAGAATCCTTTTATAGATGGGTTAAATGCATTGCTTCCATGTTTCCAGCATAAAACTTATCTTAGTCTGAGTCATATGGCAGCATAAAGTTCCCTTTCATTGCTTAGAACAGCCTTTCTCAACCAGGGTGCTGTGGGGTATCTTCTGGTTTCCTCAGGGGTGCCTCGAAATATTTGCACAGCGTCATGCCTTTCCGCGGTGCAGACGTGCTTCTGATGTGACGGGGGGCTTGTGATGTGAAGTGTGGGCACTGTTGTAAAAAGGAAGGGGTTCGAATGTTAAGAGAGCTTTTGATGTTAAGGGGGCTCCTAGCTCAAGAAGGGGGACACTGAAGTACGAGGAGGGGGCTCCTGATGTGAAGGGGGCTCCTAGCTCAAGAAGAGGGGACTCTAAAGTAAAATGAGGGGGCTCCTGATGTAAAATGAGGGGGCTCCTAATAAGAAGTAAGGCTTCTGATGTACAGGGGAAACTCTCATTTAAAAGGGGGGAACCCCACTGTTTTGTGTGTTTTTACATCGTTTTCCCACTTAAAATCCATGAGTTCTCAATCTAGGATAAGGGTCTGTCATAGATTTTGGAGGGGCCACACATCGTTTCTTACATATTTACATTTCCGTTTTTTACATTTGGGGTGCCACAAGACTTTTCATACTTTTAAAGGGTGCCATGACAAAAAGAAGATGAAGAAACGCTGGATTAGAAGGTAGAAGTAGTGCGTTTTGCCGGTTTTTAACATTTGTGTAATATTGACAATTTTTAAAATGTCTTTGAGTACTGGTTTAATATTATTCAGTATCACTGCCAAGTCTTGTTGTTGCACACCACTACTTTCATTGTAAAGAAGCCTTGTCCGTGTATTACCCACATATTACATAGTTTTGCAAATCTAAAGCTGATTATGTAAAGATTGTATGGTCATAATGCTGCACTCCAGAACCCCCCCCCCCAACCCTCTCTACATATTCCTGTATTTTCTA